GCTGAGGTGGGAATGGGTGGACGTGGGAACGGGGGGATGTGGGAATGGGTGGATGTGGGAATGAGGGACTTAAACAGCTAGGAACACACAATGGGGAAGAGGTCAGGTGGGAATGACTCCAAGTTCCCACGGGTTGGGCTGGTTCCAGGTGTGGGGAAGGGTCTCACCAGGGGATCCCTGTCCTGGGGGACCCAATCGTCACCTCCCTGCCCCAAGACCCCCAAATTCCTCCCAGTTTGACCCCAAAGAGTATGCAGGATGCCCTTATACACTCCAAGACCCCAAATTCCCCCAAACCCAACCCAGGGACTGAATGAGCCCTCACCTCCCCCACGATCCCAAAATCCCCTGGTCCATAACTCCCCCAGTTTGTCTTTTTGGCAGGTAGGAAAGGCATGGGGACCCAGCTCCCACCTCCCTGACCCCCAAATTCCCCCCAGTTTGGCTTTTGCAGTGGCTGACACAACCCCTGAATATCAACCCCTGACGCAATCTGCTCCACAACCCCAGAATACCAAACAACCCCAAAATCCCCTCGTTCCAGGACCCCCAAACCACCCCCAGCTCAACCCTGCAGAGCACCCAGAACCCTGCTAACTCCTCCAAGACCCCAAACCCAGAGTGGCCACCTTGCCACACACTCCCCACGCCCTCCCTACCCTGAATTCCCAACACTCCCCAGTAACCCCGCGGGATTCCCAACGCTCCCGGCTCCCCCGTGGGATTCCCAACGCTCCCGGTGCCCCCGCACCTTGTGGGCCCCGCGGATGGCGGTGATGCAGGCGGGGTCCACGAGGGGCTTGGGGCGCCGGGCGGACTCCTCGAGCAGCCCCTGCCACTGGCGGGGCAGCCCCGTGAAGCGCTGCTCCGAGGCGTCGTAGCCCGTGTGCACGCGGTGCTCGAAGTTGGACGGCGCCGAGATCTCCACCCGCTTCTTCTTCTTGGAGAACATGGCCCGGGACGCGCTCCTGGCAACCCAGAACGCCGGGGTTAGGGGGGTGGGAGAGGGGAGATGGCGTCGGGAACGGTGTCAGCCCCCCCAAATCCAGCCCTGGGAAGGGGAACGGACGCGGAAATCCGGTGTCGTAACGGGGAACGGCCCCGGGAGCGGGATGGGCGCCCAAATCCCATCGTTAGAGTGGAATAAATGGGAAATGCTGTTGGGATGAAGTGGGGAGGGGATCAGCCCCAAAATCCTGCTGTTCAAACGATTTTTATCCATCGTTGGGATCGACTGGATCAGCCCTGAAAATCCCATTGTTGGAATGATTTTTATCCATCGACCACTTCCACTTTTATCCAATTACTTCCCATTTTCCCCCCAAGTCCAAGCTTGGAAATGCCAGGAGCACCAGAAATTCCAATTGGAAATGGGATTAGTCCATTAACCCAACCCGAACCAACAAACAGATTTAAAACACCTCAAAAGCACACAAAAAAATTTGCTTTTCTTGGGATCCCAGTGCCAGTGGGGGGGTTTGGCTGATTTCATTCCCTGGTTTTCCATGTTTTTCCTGCAGTTTCCAGGCCAAGAACGAGCTGAGCTGGAAATGTTTCGGGTTCAGTGGGGGCAGGAATCCCACTGGGAATGGCCCCAAAATCCCATGGATCCTGCGTGGGTCCATTTTTCCCACTTTTACTGCTTTTTTCTGGTGGCAATTTCCCTGTTTCCTCACATTTTTTTCCAGCTTCTTGGCTCAATCCATTTTCCAGGCTCCAGAATCCCAGTGCTTCCAAGGTTTTCTCACAGTTTTTCCCAGTCTTTGAGGTTTTCTCCCTAAACCAATGATCCATTATGAAGTTTTTCTCCTCCTCCACTTCGAGCCCAGCCAAAAACTGCCAGAATTCTGTGTATTCTCCATTTTCCCTGCTCATCCCACGCTGATCCCTCCTTCCACCTTCCCAGGACACTGCTGGGATCCTCTCCGGCTTTCCAAAATCCCATTTTCAGATGGAAAATTCTCCTGGTTTGGGGGAATTGCAGCTGAATTTGGAGTGGGAGGATTAAAATCTGCTGCATTTGGGCTTTTCCATGGGAAATATCCGAGGATGATCCAGGTCAGCCAGGACGTCAGGGAAGTGCAGTATCTGGACACCAAATCCGTGGGATTTCACCCCAAAAACCTCTTCCTTTCAGATGGTTGGGGAAAAACTGGTGGCACTTGGCAGGAGCAGAGAGGTCCTGAAGAATTCCAGAGGGTGGGATGGGGGCCAGGAGGGGGTGAACTCATTCCTCAGCTCTTCCCAGGTCGCATTCCTGGGATCCCAGCGGGGTTTAATTAGTAACCAATTAACAAGGAACTGAGTCCACACCGGGTGGAATAATCCCGTGTTTTCCCTAAAATTCCCAACAAAATCCCACAAATTCTCCCCAAAATCAGTGGCATTCAGGCTGTGTCCTGGTGGGAATCATGCTGGCAGCTTCGGGATGAAAAAGAAAGGGAAAAGTAAAGGGAAAAAACGTGAACAGAGGCACTTTGTGCCCTCCCATAAAGCCCAAATCCAGGAAAATCAGATGTCACTGGGCAGGAGAGCATCGAGGAAGGGACCGAAATGTGATTTGCAGCAAATTTCAGGATTTTTAGACTGGAGCTGGGTGAATTTCAGGAAAACAAATGCCCATCGTGGCATTCCAGACGTGACGTTTGGCTCCATCCCCCTGCCCAAAGTGGGAAGGGGCGCCGGGCGGTGCCAAAGCTGCAGCTCAATCCCCTGGGCTGGAATCCTGGGATTCCCCCCAAAAGGGGTCACATTCCTGGGAAAACCAGGCCGGGAAGGGTCTGGAATCCCCACAAAGGGGTCACAATTCCCAGGAAAACCAGGCTGGGAAGGGGCTGGAATCCCAGGATTCCCCCCAAAAGGGTCACAATTGCCAGGAAAGCCAGCCCAGGGCCGGAGCAGTCCGGCCAGGAAGGGCGGGTTGGACTGGCCCAGCTGGATCTGCCGGAGGAGGAGGAGGAGGAAGAGGAGGAGAAGTGCCGGCCTTTGCCCCGGAGGAATCCCGGAATTCCAGGAATCTGGAGCCTCCGAAGCTCACGGGAACAGGAAAAAAACAATCCGGGAAGGGGAAGCAGGAGATGCGAGCTCCTGGGAAAAAGGGAAACCGGGAAAAGCGGGATGGGAGGGAACCAGGAGAGGGAAAAAGTGTCAGAGGAAGGGGAAAAGGAGGAATTCCGGTGGAATTCCTCTCCTTTCCTGCAGCAGGAAGGTTCCCCGGACCTGGAAGTGCAGGGAGAGGGAGGGAGGAACGCCGGGAATCTCCGGCTCGGGGCAGAGGAAGGGCCGATTAATGGAGATCCAATTAATGGAGACCCAGTTAATGGAGATCCAATTAATGAACACCCAGTTAATGGAGATCCAGTTATTTGAGATCCAATTAATTGAGATCCAATTAATGGAGATCCAATTAATGGAGATCCAGTTATTGGAGATCCAGTTATTGGAGATCCAATTAATTGAGATCCAATTAAAGGAGATCCAATTAATGGAGATCCAGTTATTGGAGATCCAGTTAATGGAGACCCAATTAATGGAGATCCAGTTAATGAAGATGCAGTTAATGGAGATCCAATTAATGGAGATCCAGTTAATGGGGATCCAGTTAATGGAGATCCAGTTAATGGAGATCCAACTAATCAGTAACGATCCCGTCCATCCACAACGATCCAGGTCACCAAAATCCAGGAAAACGGCAAATCCCTGCTGGGAATTCCTCCAGAAAACCCAAATATTCCTCCCAGGGAACCCAGGTTCCATCCCGTGGGAAGCGAACAAATTAAAACATTAATCAAAGCCAGGGGCAGGAATATCCTTGGAATTTCTTCCTGGAAACTCCGCAGAAATTCCTGCTCATTCTGCTGCTGTTAGTGAGATGTTGGTGACCAAATTCCGACCTTTTAGCCCCAAACCCCAACAGGGAATGGGGTTTTTGGCCATCTCCAAAGGATTGCTGGATCTTTTCCACATCTGGGTGTTCCCCAAAATCCCAATTCCCACTGATTTCCAAGCCCACCGTGGGCCAATCCCTCTATCCCACCATTGCTTATTTAAAATCTCACTAAATTTCAGGAAAAATGCAACTAAAGCCCAGGTCCAGAGGCTTTATTGGATTTTTTTTTCTCCTTTTCCGTTGAGGAATGGCAGCAGGAGCACCACAGAAAACCAGTGGGGATGGCAATTTCCCTTCCCGCTGCACCAAAATTGGGGGGGAAACTCCGTTTTTTACGAGTTTGGAAACTCCTGAGGAGCTCCAGTGCCCCTCCGCCTCGGAGCTCCTGACCCAAACCCACAAGAAACTCTGGAAAAAACCCATCCGAGGGCTGAGGGGCTGGATAGGAGCGCGGGGAGGAGACCCCAAATCCCGGAGGGATGAGGAATCCCGGGAATTAATTCCGGATTCGCTTCCTACCTTCCACCGAGGGGAAAATTCTGCCTCAGCTCCGCATTCCGGGTCCTCCGGTCAAAGTGCTGCACGGGAAGAAGGGAATTCCCTCAGGAGCAGCCGCCGGGCTCCCCTTTTGGGGTTTTTTTGGGGGCGGGGGGCGGCTGGATCCTCATCCCGCTGCTCTCCGGGAACCCCAGGCTGCGTCTGCGGCGCCTCGGGGGATTTGGGGAGCCCCCAAGCCCACCCCCAAGCGCCCTCCTTAGCCCTGGGAGGGGTCTCCGGAGCTCAGAGCCCCCCGATAGCCGCGAATCCCCCCCCGGGCCCCCTCAGCGCCCCCCGGGCCCCCTCAGGCCTCACTCGGCCGCCGCCGCCGCCATGTTGGGACCGGGGCACATCCGGGTCCTCCCACGCCCGCGTCGCCGCGGCGACAGGCCGCGCCCCCGAAGGGCGGGGACACGGGCGGGAGGGGTGTGGCGAGCCATATATGGGCAATAAGCGTGGGCATGAGGAGCCATATATGGATAAGAGGCGTGGCCTAGGGCGGAGAGGAGCTCAATATGGGCGGGGAGCCGCCTTTGGGGCGGGGTTTACAGGAGGAGGGGCGGGGTTTATAGGAGGAGGAGCGGTGCCTAACGCGGAAGTTGCTGCTGAAGAGGCGGGTCTCCAGAGTACGGCTCTCCAGTCTGACCAATCACCGCGCGAAGCACGGAGATTGGCATCTCTGCTATCCAATCGCAGTGCGGTGCGCTGTGATCTGGGTAAGATGGCGGCGCGCTGAGGGGAACGTGGGGGCTCTTGTCTCGCCGCTGCCTGCTGCCTTCACACTGTGGGGCTCCGGTCCCGCCGCTCCCCGCTGCTTTCTGACCGCGCGTTCTCCCCTCAGAGCCTCGGAGATGTCGCTCCGCGCCGTGCTGAGGGCCGTCGCCTCGCTGCCGCGCTGCAGTGCGTAAATACGCCCAAACCCCCCCAAAAAACCCCCCCAATAAACCCCAAAAAACCCCTAAAAAAAAAACCAAAAAAAAACCAAACAACCCCAAAACGCCCTCTGTCGTGTCCCCCCACAGGCACGGGCCCGCTCCTCCCGCCCCCCGCGCCCTCCTGCCCCATGGCCACCCTGAACCAGCTGCACCGGCAGGGCCGTCCCGCGCCCCCTCCCCGCCACCTGGGGCCCACGCTGGGCCGGCCGCAGCTCAAGGCCGTGGTGCTCAAGAACCTGATCCGCAAGCCCAAGAAGCCCAACTCGGCCAACCGGCGCTGCGTGCGCGTGCGGATGAGCGGCGGCCGCGAGGCCGTGGCCTTCGTGCCCGGCGAGGGCCACGGCCTGCAGGAGCACCACATGGTGCTGCTGCAGGGCGGGCGCACGCAGGACCTGCCCGGCGTCAAGCTCACCGTGGTGCGCGGCAAGTACGACTGCGCCCACGTGCAGCCCAAGAAGTGAGCGCGGGACCCCCGGAGACCCCGGCCCGGCGTGGGGGTCCTGGGGTCACCCCTCAGGAGGGGATGGGAGCGGGCCGGGGGTGTGAAATCGGGATTAAAGCGGATTTGGTGATGCGGTGGTGTGGTGTGGAGTGGTGGTGGGGGAATGGGAATGCGGGTGGGAGACTGGGAGGGGTGGTGGGGGTACTGGGAGGGGTCATGGGGACAGTGGCAGTACTGGGAAGAGCGGTGAGGATGCTGGGAGGGGTTGTAGAGACACTGGGAATGGTGGTGAAGACACTGGAGGCACTGGGAAAGGTCACGGGGAGACTGGGAAGGGCCCTGAGGTGACACTGGGGTCACTGGGGTCATGGGGGTGTCACAGGGGTGTCACTGAGGTCACATGGGGGTCATGGTGGGTGTCACTGGGGGGTCACAGGGGTCACTGTGATCATGAGGGGGTCACTGGGGGGACACTGGGGTGTCACTGTGGTCACGGGGGGTCATGGGGGTCACTAAGGTCACGTGGGGGTCATGGGGGGTGTCACGGGGGGTCACTCCGGGGTCACCGGACCCGCAGCCCTTTGGGACCGAGGCCGGGGGGTGGTCGGGACGAAAGGGGGCGTGGCCGAGCCCGCCCGCCGTGAGGGGAGGGTGTGTGCGCGTGTGCGTTCCGCGAGCGCGCGCCCGGCCCCGCCCCCAGCTCCCCCACGTGACTCCCCCACTCCCCTCACACGGGTGGCCAAGATGGCGGCGCGCCGGGCGCTGCTGGCGGCGGGCCGGGCGGCGCGGCGCCGGGGCCGCTCCCGCGGGGCGGAGCCGCCTCTACGAGCACGTGCGGGAGGGGCTGAGCGCGCGGCCGCGGCTCGACGTGAGCGCCCTCAGCGAGCGCGACCTGGATCGGCGGCGCGGGCCGCTAGGGGGCGCCGCGCTCCGCGAGATCGTGAGTGGCGGGAGCGGCGGTGGGCGGGGCCTGCATGTGGGCAGGGGGCGTGACTTCCCCGTGCCCCCGTTTGGGTGTGGCGGGACACGCCCACCCGAGCCACGCCCTTGCCACGCCCTTCAGGTACGGACGTGGTCGCGGCTGGGGCAGGTCCGCGATGGCATCGCCCGGCTGGAAGCCGAGAAGGGGCGCGTGGCCCAGGGGGTGCGCGAGATCATGGTGAGACCCCTCCCCGGGACCCCCCCCAAATCCCCACTGCGTCCCTCTGCTCCCCGCTCAGCCCCTCCTGGAACCCCCCAGGACCCCCCTGAACCACCCCACCACCCCCAGACCCCCCCAAGGACCCCCTGACTCCTTTCCACCCCCTCTCCAGGCCTCCCACGACAAGGCAGCGGCCAAGACGGTAAGAATGGAGTTTTGGGGGGGCCGGGGGGGGTTGGTGGCCCCCCAGGCCCTCACGGTGGCCCTGTGGCAGCACCCGGAGCTGGCGGCGCTGCGGGAGCGGGGCCGGAGCCTCCGGGAGCAGCTGCGGGTGCTGGAGGCCGAGGAGGCTGAGCTGGAGCAGAGGTTCTACCTGGGGGCCCTGCAGCTGCCCAACAGGACGCACCCCGCTGTGGTGAGACCCCTGAAAGCACCCCAAAAACCTCCCCAAAATTACCCCAAAAACAACCAAAACCCACCAAACCCACCCAGCCCAACAGAACCCACCCCGCTGTGGTGAGACCCCAAAATCACCCTGAAATCACCCAGAACCCACCCAGCCCAACAGAACCCACTTCGCTGTGCTGAGACCCCCCAAATCACCCCAAAATCACTCAGCCCCACAGGATGCACCCCGCTGTGGTGAGAACCCCGAAATCACCCCAAAAACCTCCCCAAAATCACCCCAAGCCCACCCAGCTGTGCTGAGACCCCAAACACCCCCCGAAACCCCCCCAAACCCCCCTTTGTGCCCCCCAAACCGCCCTTGTGCCCCCCAGCCCGTCGGGGACCAGAGCCAGGCCCGGCTGCTCGAGGTGGTTGGTGAGAAACCAGGTGAGGGCTGGGGAGGTCTTTGGGGGGGTCCTGGGGGCACTTCTTGTTGTGGGGAAGGAGGAGAAGGGTCCTTGGGGGGGCATTTGGAGGGTCTCGGGGTTTTTGGGGGTCTGGGGTGTATTGGGGAGGTACTGGGGGGGTCTGGGGGGGTATTTGGGGGGTCTGGGGTCACCCAGGTGACAGGAGTGACAGAGGTGCCCCCTCCCCTCCCCCAGTGTTTGATTTTGAGCCAAAGGGACACCTGGAGCTGGGGGAGGGGCTGGACATCATCCGGCAGAGGTGAGCAACCCCTGCAGGGGCACACCTGGCACACACCTGGGCCACACCTGTCCCAGCCCTGTCCCACACCTGTCTCATCTGTCCCACCTCTGTTCCCCCTGTCCCACCTCTTCCACCTGTCCCCCACCTGCAGGGGCACACCTGTCCCAGCCCTGTCCCAGCCCTGTCTCACCTGTCCCACACCTGTCCCCCGTGTCCCTTCACGGGCGCCTGTCCCATGTGTCGGGCCATCGCTCCTATTCCCTGTGCAGGGTCAGGGATGTCCCCAGGTGTTGCACACCTGTCCCAGCCCTGTCCCAATCCTGTCCCTTGGGGGTCTGGGGTGTATTGGGGAGGTACTGGGGGGGTCTGGGGGGGTATTTGGGGGGTCTGGGGTCACCCAGGTGACAGGAGTGACAGAGGTGCCCCCTCCCCTCCCCCAGTGTTTGATTTTGAGCCAAAGGGACACCTGGAGCTGGGGGAGGGGCTGGACATCATCCGGCAGAGGTGAGCAGCCCCTGCAGGGGCACACCTGTCCCAGCCCTGTCCCAGCCCTGTCTCACCTGTCCCACACCTGTCCCCTGTGTCCCTTCACAGGCGCCTGTCCCATATGTCGGGCCATCGCTCCTATTCCCTGTGCAGGGTCAGGGATGTCCCCAGGTGTTGCACACCTGTCCCAGCCCTGTCCCAATCCTGTCCCAGCCCTTTCCCAGTCCTGTCCCAGCACTGTCCCAGCCCTGTCCTACACCTGTTCCACGTGTCCCCCACCCCACAGGCGCCTGTCCCACGTCTCGGGCCATCGCTCCTATTACCTGTGCGGGGCCGGGGCTCTGCTCCAGCACGCCCTCGTCACCTTCACCCTGCAGAAACTGCTCAGCAAGGTGGGGGGCACCTGGGGGGGTCCCAGGGAGGGTCTGGGATGGTCTGGGGGCATCCAAGGAGGCTCCGGGGGGATCCAGGAGGGTCTGGGGGGTCCCAGGAAAGGCCTGGGATGATCTGGGGGTCCCAGGGAGGCTCAGGGGGGTCCCAGGGAGGGTTTGGGATGGTCTGGGTGGATCCAGGAAGGGTTTGGGATGGTCGGGGGGGTCCCAGAGGGTCCCAGGGAGGGTTTAGGGATGGTCTGGGGGTCCCAGGGGAGTCGGAGTCCCCCAATCTCCCTTTTTCCCAGGGTTTCCTGCCCATGACGGTGCCTGACCTGCTGCGCGGAGCCGTTTTTGTGAGTGCCCCCCCCCCGAGCCCCCTGAGACCCACCCCCGGCCCCCCTGCGGCCCCAGGTGACCCCCCTGTGCCCCCCAGGAGGGCTGCGGGGTCCAGCCCAGCGCCGCCCCCTCCCAGGTTTACACCATCGACCCCGCGCGCTTCGAGGATCTGTGCCTGGCCGGGACCTCGGAGGTGGGAATTGCAGGTGGGGAACGGGGGAAAACGGGGGGAAATCGGGAAAATCCAGGAGGAGAGGGAGAACTAAGGGGAAAATGGGAGAAAACTGGAGAAGAATATGAGGAAAATCCTAAAAAGTAGGAGGTAAAAAGTGGAGAAAGGGGGAGCAGACGGATTTGGGGGTCACCCCTTGTCCCCCCACCCAGGGTATTTCATGGACCACGCGGTGCAGCTGCAGGACCTGCCTGTCAGGTACAGGGGGGCTGTGCCCCCCCAGGGACCCCCTCCCCTTGTGGGGGTCCCACCCCGCTCCCCTGGGGGGCTCTGGGGTGTTTTGGGGTCCCCCTGAGCCCCATGCCCCTCCAGGGTCGTGTGCTCCAGCACCTGCTACCGCGCCGAGACCGACACGGGCCGTGAGCCCTGGGGGCTCTACCGCGTCCACCAGTTCACCAAGGTACTGGGAGCACTGGGAGAGCCCTGGGGAGGGGAGGGAGAGTTGGGGGTCACCCCTGTGCCCCCACAAAGGTGGAGATGTTCGGGGTGACGGCGGCCGAGCGCGGCACGGAGAGCGAGGAGCTGCTGGACGAGTTCCTGGGCATCCAGAAGGAGATTTTCTCAGAGCTGGGGCTCCATTACCGGTGAGGGGGATTTGGGGGGGGGGTCCCCCCAATCTGTGGGACCCCAAAATCTCTCCTAACTGTCCCCCCACCCCGGGTCCCACAGGGTCCTGGACATGCCCACAGAGGAGCTGGGGCTCCCCGCCTACCGCAAGTTCGACATCGAGGCCTGGATGCCTGGACGGGGCAAATTTGGGGAGGTGAGGGGGGGGGTCTGTGACCCCTATAATTCAGGGGGAACCCAAATAACTTGGGGAGAACCCTGATAATTCGGGGAGAGCCCCAATAATTTGGGGAGGATCCAAAAAATTCTGGGAAAATCCCAAAAACTCAGAGGTGACGCCCCTCCCTCACCCCCTCCCTCTGTTTGTGGCCCCCCTTTATTCTCATCCTTGCTGCCGGATCAGGACTCCCATTTTGGGGGGTCCCTGGAGCTGAGGAGGGGGGTGCCCCAAACCTTCTGACTCCCTCTCCCCCTCATTTCCCCCAGATTTCCAGCGCTTCCAACTGCACCGATTACCAGAGCCGACGCCTGAACATCATGTACAGCGGGGAGGGGGGCCGGCTGAGCCACGCCCACACGGTGGGTGACCCCCCCCAAGACCCCTGGGAGACCCCCAAAACCCCTGGGGAGGGTCTCCAGGACCCCCCGAGCCCGTGTGTCCCCCCCAGGTGAACGGCACCGCCTGCGCCGTGGCGCGGATGCTCATCGCTCTCCTCGAGTGCAACCAGCTCCCGGTGAGTGTTCTGTGGGTGGGGGTCCCGCGGGGGTCTGGGGGCTCCGGGGGGCTCACCCTGCCCCGTGTCAACCCCCAGGACGGCCGTGTGCGGGTGCCCCCCGTGCTGCAGCCGCTGGTGGGGCGGGAGGTGCTGGCCCGGCCCCGCTCGCCCCTCCTGCGCTACATCGGCCCCAACCAGCCCGGGGGGGGCCCCCCCAAAACGGGGCGGGGGTCCTGAGGGGAGGGGTCGCCCTGGAGGAGGCAGAGCCAGGGCGGGGCACGGATGGAGCCGGGACATCGCGGGACAGGAGGCGAGGGACATGTGTGACAGCCCGTGTGACAGCGCCACCCGCGGTGACAAATTCCGGGAATAAAACCTGGAAATCCCCCGTGTCACAGGCATGTCCTCTGCTCCACACGTGCTCTGGGGACACACAGGTGTCCCCCCAGTGTCCCCCATGTCCTGCACTCACACAGGTGTCCCCCAGTGTCACACGTGTCCTGCTCTCACACAGGTGTCCCGCAGTGTCACACGTGTCCTGCTCTCACACAGGTGTCCCCAAGTGTCACACGTGTCCTGCACTCACACAGGTGTCCCCCAGTGTCACACGTGTCCTGCTCTCACACAGATGTCCCCCAGTGTCACACGTGTCCTGCTCTCACACAGGTGTCCCCTCAGTGTCCCCCCCTCAATGTCCCCCATTGTCACACCGTCCTTTGCTCCCAGCGCTGCCTCTCCTTTATTTCCCACGCCCCCCCCCAACCCTTGGGGCTCCCCCAGGATTTTGGGGGGTGGGGGGCTCATCTTCAGGGGGTCCCCCTGGCTGGGGGGTGGCAGGGGAACCCCCAAGTCCATCCCGGGGGGCTCAGGGGGGGTCCCCGGGGGGGCCCTCAGGCCGGGCAGCGCCTGCTGTTGATGACAATGTCGTCGTACTCGTCCTGGGGGGGGAAGAGAAATTTGGGGGGGCTGCAAGAGTGTGTGTGTGGGGGGGGCTTGGAAGGGTTGGGGGTCCCTCTTGGGAGCCCCCCGGTCATGCTGGGGGATCCCTGGGGACAGGGACAGGGCGGGGGTTGTCCCCTCAGTGTCCCGTTGTCCCCGACTGACCTCGCTGTCCTCGGCCCCGCCCTCGCTGTCGCCGCTGTCGCTGCTGTCGCTGTCGCTGCTGGGGGGGTCGCGGGCCCCGAAGCGGCGCAGGAGGGGGGGCAGCCGGGGGTCGGGGCGGCGCCGGGCGCTGTACAGGGGGGTGAACCCCGAGAAGGTGCGGGGGTCCGGCCGCGCCCCGCCGCGCAGGAGGCACTCGGCCACCTCGGGGCTCTGCGCCTCCACGGCCAAGTGCAGGGGGCTGCGGCCGCAGCTCGGCTCCTGGGGGGGCACGGCGGGGTCAGGGGGGCGCGGAGAGGACCCCGCCCCGCTCCCAGCTGTGTTTTTTGTTTGTTTTGGGGGTTTTTTTTGGGGGGGGGCACCCACCGGCCGGTCGGGGTCGGCGCCGGCGCGGAGCAGGAGCTGCACCAGCTCCAGGTCCCGGCGCAGCACGGCCACGTGCAGGGGGGTGTAACCTGTGGTGGGGGGGACACGGGGGGGCCCAAAGCCCTGCCTGAGCACGTGGGACCCCCCCCCAAACCATTGCCCTCCCGAACAGCGAGACCCCCCCCACCAAAAACCGACATTCCTCCCAAAATTCCAAACCCGCGTGACACCCCTGAGCCAAATCCCCATCCCCAAAAACCCGCAGAAAACCGCGACCTCCCCTCAAAACCACGACGATCCCAAAGCCACACGACCCCAAAACTCTCCCCCCAAACCATGACCCCCCCCAAAATCGCGCCCCTCCTGCACCGTCGTAGTTGACGCTCTCCAGCTGCACCCGCCGCTCCTCCTCCTCCTTCCGGGGGTCCCGGGGGGGGTCCCGGGGGTCGGGGGGTGTCCCCAGCAGGGCGCGGGCGCAGGCGGGGTGACCCTCGCGACAGGCCAGGTGCAGGGGGGTGTGACCGCCCCGCTCCCGCACGGCCACGGCCGCGCCCGCCGCCCGCAGGCGCCGCACGGCCCCGGCCAGCCCCAGCACCACGGCGATGTGCAGGGCGGTCTGCGGGGAAAAAGGGGTTAAACCGACCCGACACGTACCCCAAAACATCGCCCCAAATCCTCAGCATCGCCCCAAAACCCCAGCACAAAACATTGCCCCAAAACATCACCCCAAAACCCCAGCCCCAGCACCACGGCGATGTGCAGGGCGGTCTGCGGGGAAAAAGGGGTTAAACCGACCCGAAACGTACCCCAAAACATCACTCCAAAAGAGCACCATCACCCCAAAACCCCAGCCCCACGGCGATGTGCAGGGCGCTCTGGGGGAAAAACGGGTTTAAACAGACCCAAAACATCGCCCCAAAAACCCAACCCCAAAACATCACCATCACCTCAAAACCTCAGCATTGCCCCAAAACATCACCTCAAAACAGCAGCATCACCCCAAAACCTCACCCCAGCACAACACGCAGGGCGCTCTGGGGGTGCAGGGCGCTTCACACCCCGGGGGCGGTTCACAGCCCACCCCAAACCCCCCCAGCCCCCCCGGGTTTCGGGGCGCGCCCACCTGGCCCAGGTCGTTCTGCAGGTCCAGGTAGGGGCAGCGCTGCGTGTGCCGCAGGATGGACTCCAGGAACGCCTCGTGCTCGTGGATCACGGCCAGGTGCAGGGCCCTGGGGGGGGCACGCGCTGGCAGGGGGCCCCAAAAACGGGCTGACAGCAAAGGGGGGCCCCAGAAACCGACTGACACCTCCAGACCCACAGGGGGTCCCCAAGAAGGGACTGAGAACCCCAGACCCACAAGGGATCCTCAATAAAGGACTGACACCAAAGGGGGTCCCCGGAAATGGACTGACACCCCCAGACACACAGGGGGTCCCCAGAAAACTGTGTGGGGGGTGGTAAATGAGGTCCTGGCCGTTACCGGGGGTTACCGAGCCTCCCGGGCCGTTACTGGGGGGTTACCGAGGGTCCTGGGCCGTTACTGGAGCCGTTATTGGGGCTCCCGGGCCGTTACCGGGCGTCCTGGGCCGTTACTGGGGGGGTTCCTGAGGGTCCCGGGCCGTTATTGGGGCGGTTACCGAGGGTCCCGGGCCGTTACCGGGCCGTTACTGAGGGTCCCGGGCAGTTACTCCTGGACCGTTACTGAGGGGTTACCGAGGGTCCTGGGCCGTTACTGGAGCCGTTATTGGGGGTCCAGGGCCGTTACCAGGGGGTTCCCGAGGCTCCCGGGCCGTTCCCGAGGCTCCCGAGCCGTTACCGGGGTTCACGGGCTGTAACCGGGGGGTTCCCTAGGGTTCCGGGCCGTTATTGGGGCCGTTCCGGAGGCCCCCGGGCAGTTCCTGGGGGGTCACCGAGGCTCCCGAGCCGTTCCCGGGCCGTTCCCGGGACACCCCGGGGCCTGCGGCGGTCCCGGGGGGATCGCACCGGAGCCCGGGGAAAGGGCCGAACCGTGACCCCCCAACCCCAGGGCGTGCTCGGGGGTCCCACCCGGACCGGGGGCGGGGGTCCCTCGTCCCTCCCCGCCCTCACGTGTCGCCCTCCTCGGTGACGAAGCTCAGGACGTGCCGCAGCCAGGCCGCGGGGTCGGCCAGGGGCTCGGGGGGCTCCGCCGCGGGGCTGGCGGGCAGCGGCGGCCCCAGCGGCCCGTCGCCCAGCGAGCCCAGCCCGCTGTCGCACCACTCGTCGCCCTCGGGCCGCTTCTCCTCGCCGGGGGCCGCCGGGGCCGCGGCCGCCATCGCCGGGGCCGCCTCAGGCCGCGGCCGCCATCGCGGGCCGGGGAATCCCCGCCCCGGCGCGCGCCGGGACCCGTAGTCCTCGCCTTCTCTTCCGGGTGCCTCACCCAATCAACACCCTCGGCTCGGCCGCGCATGCGCTCTCCCTCCCAACGGAGCACGCCGGGAGTTGTGGTGCGGGCAGGCCGCGCCCATGGCGGAGCGGGACGGGGCCGGGGCCGGCGGGGCCGGCGGGGCCGGGGGCGGCCCGCGGGG